TTTGCTTTCCAGCGCTGCTGCTTTAAATTGGAGAGATTGACCTTGTAGCAGGAGGTGACATGCAGATGCACATCAGCAGCCCGTCAGAGCGGGCAGCGGGGGCCGGGGGGGCTGCGGAGCCGCCTCGGGGACAGGCCAACTATTTTATGAGTAATTTAATATCTGGAACACAGACTTTTCATTCCCAGAGATCTGCTGGAGAAAGAAAGAGCCTTTCTGCAGCCCTGCAAAGGCTGTTCCTCGTAAGGAGGCAGAGCAGAAAAAAAGGGCTGGGACTTAACCCCTTGGTGGCCAGCCCAGAGCAGAGCCTCCACAGGTCCCAGTGCTTGCAGAGGGGCCAGGGAAAGCAGGAATTCCCTGTGCAGCTCAAAGAAGAATTCCCCTGGGCAGCTCGGGGGGGGAAAAAAGCCAGTCCCTGTTGCTCCAGGGAAAAGAGGTGACTGCTTCTTACCATTCAAATTCAGATCCAAGCCTGAGTGAGGATGAGGGAAACAAACTTGTCAGAAGCCCTGAGGTTAGATTTCAGGTAGGAGGTGTTGCCTCAACTCCCTTCCCTTATCAAGCTCCACGTGAGTCCTGCTGATGTTGGAACCAGTCCCATTCTCCAGTGGATCCAGTGCAGCCAGAGGATCCATGCTGGGAGATCCTGCCCTGCTGTCAACAAAGCAGCCATGTGTGGCCTCAGTCAACACTGAACCAAAGTCGGTCCTGCTGTGTCCCACTGGTGTCTGCAACCCTCGCAGCAAGCGTGGTCTGGTGCACTGCTCCCGTAATGACTCTGTCCAGAGCACACCACAGCTCTGAGCACGAGCAGGGATTCCCCGTGTGCCTCCTGCTTGGCAATGTGATTTGAGAAAGGGGAGGGAAGGAAGAACACCATAGAAATGCAGCTCTTCGCTACCCAGTGCAGAGGAGAAGGTGAAGAGCAGCCGCCAGCTCGGCAGCAGAGACTGTGCCTTGTTGCAGGGAGGCTGAAGGGAAGGAAACGCTCGTGGGCTGTTCAGGAGGGAGCTGCTGGCAAGGGAAAAGCATCTCTGCACCTAGAAGAAGGGCTGCTGTGGACTTGCATGGCAGGCTGCACCACATAGCCTCCAGCAGACCTGCTGGGCAGCGTGGCTGTGGCTGGTGTCACCAGCAAGGACTGAGGGCAACCATGGGTGGTTTAAGAACCTTTCGTTGGGTAGCAGGTACCAGGAACTGAGGGGCATTTCCTTTGCGAATGCCACAGTGTTTGCTGGTGATGTTAGACCAGGCTGCGGCATCATCATCCATGGCTCAGTCTTACTGATAAACAACACAACCAGGCTTTGATCTCTCCAGTTCAGCTTCACTTCCCATGGACCTTGACAGGCACCTTGCATGCTCCTCCTCATCAGATCCTGCCAGAGCCCTGCTTATGCCTGCACTGGAGCTTTGACACAGAGAAAACCTCCAAAACCCAGCTAGATGACACAAGGGAAACCTCCCTGTGATGATATTCTTGCTGATCCCTGATGCCGGGTGACTTGAAATAGGAAGGGTTTATTTTAGGATCCTGACAGCTCTCTACCAGTGTCTTGGCACATCAGTGGATTTGCTCCCAAATGTCCCTGGTTGCTGGGAGTCCCCATAGAGTGACCATGACATGTGCTGCTTTTTGGTGTGATCTGGTACCTGATGGGGCAGGGTGATGGGCAACATGGCCATGGTGTTCCCGGTTAGCTCTGTCCCACACAGTGCAGCCTCCAGCACTGAGAGACCCAAGCATCCCGTGTCTGCTTAGGGCAAAAAGCTCACACTCCCAAACCTCCTGCTCTGAAATCACCTCGAAACACCCCCATCCTCGACATCTGCTGAGCATCTGGTGGCCTCTGCCGGGCCACATCCCAAACCTTGGTGGAAGGCCCAGCTCCACAGACGAGGGTCACAGCACCACCTGGTGAAGCTCCACGGCTTAGCTCTGGTGTGACCATGAGCAAGAACCGGGCTCACCATGAGATGAAAAGAAAAATCAAAAGGGAGGGAAGAGGAGCAGAATGTGCGTGTCAGGACAGGTCTGCAGGGAGCATGCATGGAGCAGGGTGAGCGTGCAAGGGTGCATCGTGTGAGCACGCACAGAGCAGTCAATACATGCATGGAGCAGGATGAGAGTGTCCCCTGGGAGGGGGCATCTGCATTTTGGCTCTGGTCTCAGAGGGTGCTGTAATAGCTTGGCAGGACAGGTCCTCTCCATGGTGGGGAGCACACCTCAAGTCCTCCTGCAGGGTCAGAAACACACTGCCCACACTAAGTGGCCCTGAAAGGTGATGCTGCATGAACCCCCCTCCCGTCTGTTCTCACTTCATCATCCATTCTGGATACCTGAGAGGTTGTGCTGACCCATGGCCAGTGCAGTGGCAGCTTCCGGGGAGCAGACAGGTGCCATCCCATGGAGCTCAGGCCTGCGGTGGCATTAGGGGTGCTGGCTGAGACCCACAGCTGGAGCAATGCGCTGTGAACCTGTGTTCTGGCTGCATAAGCAGGTGAGGTGCACTTTAGAGACCTGCACTGCCCTCTGACTCCCCAGGTACAGCCAAGACCCTAGAAACCCTTTGGCTTGTGCTGGTGTTAGGTCAGACATCAGTTTTAAAAATAAAAGCAGCTTCACTCCAGAGGGGTCCTGACAAAGACCTTTTCAAAAGTCCAAAATGATTATATCAATTACTCAGAAAGGCAGAAAGCTTCAACATGCTGTCCGCCAACATCCCAGATCCCTTCCTGCTTAAGGTTCTTCCTGCCCCTGCCTACCCTATTGCACGGGTTAACCCATGCCGGAGGAAGGACTTTGCATTTGTCTCCATCAAATGTCAGTGGGGTCCTGCCAGCTCGTCTCTGCAGCCTGCCAAGGCTCTTTGATGGGCAGCCCTGTCCTCCTTGGCTTGCTGACTCCTGCAGACCTGCTGAGGGTTCAGGACACTGAGCTGGTGTTTGCTGCCCAGGCTGTTTTGGGGGTCAAAACTCTCTCCCTCCACCTGCCCTGATGACCCGATTTTACATGGGATGCTGCATCTCCAGCTGCAAAATGGCACAAGTGATGCAGCTGCATTTTAAAAGCATCCCAGTTCTCCCACACAGGGAGGCCTTTGGGATGCGATGGCAGAGATCTGGTGTGGGGCAGAAGTCTGGGGACACGGGGTGGCTGCACCCCAGGGGATAGAAGCCACAGATTTTGCTGGGGGATGGACGCAGCGGGGATGGTGTGAGGACGAAGCATTAACCCTGCCCGGTGCTTCCTCCCAGACCTTACGGGAAGGCAGAGCCTCGCCTCACAGTCCTGCCCGGTCCCTGCAAGCGCTGCTCTCCCAGCCTGCGGGACAGGGATGCGAAGGCTCATCCAGTCTCCAGTGCCATCTGCCGGCAATTTACCCCGGACAAACTGGAGCCTTCAAGCTGGCTGCACCAGTGCTGGTCACTGCCTTCTGCAGGCCGGTAATGGGGGGCCCTGGACCCACAAGCAGACGCCGAGAGATCAGTGGCAACGCTCCAAAACATCCAGCCCAAACCCCTTTATCATCCTCTTCATCAAGCCTCTTCCAAATCCCAGACACCCACAAGTATTGTCCTCTTCTACGTTGTGAGCGCCCTGTGGACACCCCAGTGGGCTTCACAATCCAGCACAGCTGGGCCGGGGGCTGCAGGCAACCTGCCCACCCAGGTACAATGCTGGATTGTCACGTTCCCCGGGGATGGAGACATTCCTGGGGTCCTCAGCTCTGGACGTCCTTGGGTCCATCAGCTCTACTATTAATAAAGACATCTCTGAGAGGGCTTGGTTGTGCTTTAGGACTTCATAGAATCATAGAAGCCTGGACTGGTTTGTGTTGGAAGGGACCTTAAAGCTCATCCAGCTCCAACCCCTGCCACGGGCAGGGACACCTTCCACTAGAGAAGGTTGCTCCAAGCCCCTGTGTCCAACCTGCCCTTGAACACTGCCAGGGATGGGGCAGCCACAGCTTCGCCGGGCACCCTAGG